GGACAGATACATTTTCAGCAACATAAAAAGATTGTTTCAAAAACAGCAGAACAATGTTTCCAGTGTTGTGAAATAAGTGTTTGCAAAGGTCCATGTGGGATCTCAGCTAGATAATGAGGGTCATGAGATCAGGAGAGACTGGAGGAAGAACTTCACACTAAACTTGAGACTGTTATAGCACCATCTTCCTGAGGGAAGGACAAAGAAGGGAAGCCCTTTCTCCTCAGACCCAGGAAAGCTATTTCCCTTTTCACCCTTGACCCTTGTTCTGCACTACTGGACAACTGTCCTTATATATTGGGTCTATCTCACAAAATATTCTTTTTACCCAATGTCTACCAGGAACTTAGGAGATTTCCGCCTAGAGGCCAACTCAAGTGACATTCTGGTCATGACCTCTTCTTATATCCAGTGAATCCCATTTCCACAGAATGTTATTGTGCATCTGCTCTGAGATGCCACTCAGTGCTGCCGTCTCTTAAGGTCTCTCTATCTGTCCACAGCCTCAGAATCTGTCCCCAGCTTTTCTGATAAAATATGGTGCTAAACCAGATGTTTAAACCTATTGGCAAATCTAGTTCTTCCTCCAGTCTCTCCTGATCTCATGACCCTTACCTAGGAAGGGAGACTGAAGAACAGTTTCAGGAAGATAACAAGGCCACCTTGCATCCAGGAAAGGCAGATACTCTCGGTAGCAAGTGCTTCTCAGAAGCACTTCTGAATCTGTCTCAGAGAAATAGGAGCCAGGCTTGCAGGGAAAACAAAACCAAACAAAACAGAAAAACAAAAACAAAAATCATGGCTGTAGGGATTTAAAGCAAAACGCAACTGTGTGTATTGAAATTTCTTCTTTTGCAAGTCTGACTAAGTCTTTGCAGGTCAACATGACTTCTGCAATGTGTTCTTTGCCTTTCCTGGGCTGTAAATGCAGCTGGCTAGGAAGCACTTTAGGAATATTTAATACAACACTTCATTATGCTAAAGCATAGTGGAAAGGGGCCCCTAAGTAACACAATGGATAAATTTAACAAGAATAATAACAGATTTGCCAGAACATTCTACAGTCAAGCATTTTTAGCTTTTCAGCACCTTGAGTGCAGCATATGTGGCACTGTAGTAAAAGTTTATAGACCTTTCCTCAAAATGTTTAACATGCATAAAATAAAAGATACAGTATTATAAAGGAAATCAATTATAATGATACAGTTATAAAATGTCTTAATGTGATTGAGCAGTGTGTGCTTCTTAAATACAGCCTGGCAATCCTTCTAATAGCCACTGTAATTTTGCCATAGTGATGAACAAAAATATATTTCAAGATATTGTCACTAAATTGGTGTGATGTGAAAATGGCTATGATTTCTTTTGGCAGAGTCACATTTATTACTAGCACTACCAAAATACGTTGCCCACACTCATAAGTTTTAAATGCTGTATTTTTGATAGAGGTTAATGAAATAGAGATGTTATTCTCCAACCCTACTGAAGTTCATGGACTTGATTGTTCTAGCCATTGAACATCAAAACTCTCTGATCAGCTGAGTACAAACAGATTAGACTGGAGCTAAGAAAAAAGATTTGGCAAGGCATAAATAACCATTATTCCATTCAAGAAACAATAGCTGCTCTGTCCAAAAAAAAGAAAAAGAAAGAAAGAAAGAAAGAAAGAAAATGTGATGTGGTACAATGGGTCATAGCTGTGGAAAATCATTTTGATGGAGTGGATACCAAAATTGCAATGACTGTGGTCAATGCAAAGGCCTTAGAGAAATCAACAATGAAGTCCTGGTTGAACAATTAAAGGCAAGAGGAGGACAAATTTCCTTTCCTTTATTATCTACTACCAAGAGGCTTACATGATCTCTCTTGGTGCTTTGGCTAGAAATGGATTCCACTCACAGTATTTAGTCTTTGTATTTTATGATACGCATCTTCAATGACCTACCCTATGATGTATACCATTTTGAACTTTTTAAAAGTTCATTTGCCTCTGTTATCTCCTCTGAATCTGCAGTAAATGTTATGGGTCAAACTGGCATGTGCTTGGTCAGTGGCAATACTGAGACTAAGAGGCTCACAATTGTGTCAGCAGGAAAAAATAGGTATTATCGTAAGACCCACTGGCTTCTTAAGTTTCTCAGCAGTGGGCTTTCTTTTAAAGATCAACTTAGGTACAAAGGTGATATATTGACTAAGAGACAGAAAGAATTCTGTAGCGGGCTTAGTGAAGTAAATAACCTCTCCTAGCAATGAGGAATGTATTGCAGGTTCTGAAATGGATAGGCAAGCTGCACGGGCAGTTTATGGAGGGAGTTGGCTTATTCTTTCATTCTTTGTACTATATATCGCGGGCACAATCTGAGACTCCATCACCAGCACTGAGCAAAATTGCCCCTGTATTTATTTCTCTTCCACTTCCATATTTCCACTTCTCCCCATCCTTTCTTCATTCCTTGAGCCAGCTGCTACCAGTTGCCTCCCTTCGGCTATTAGCAGCATTCCATCCCACCTGGAGCCCATTCGCCCTTCTCATTTCCTGTACTTTTTCTTGTCTATGTCATCAAGAGGAAAATAATGTGTCCCCCACTTCCTTCTTCCTAGTCTAAAGCTCTTGTCTCAGTTATGATTTTAATGACAAAGGGGATTATTTGGGCAACTTTCCCCTTAACTCTATCATCTGATTCTGAAAACAAAACAGAACAAACAAATGAATAAATAAATAAATAAACTAGAAAAAAAAAGGCAGCATATATTTTTCTTCTCCAGCCAATGGTTCTGTTGCTCAGGAGAATCCAAAGCAGAATATGTTTGTACTTCAGCATACAATTGCAAAGATTCAGTGACTTGTAGCAAAAACTGATGGTGGTTTCAAACACAGTGGTTCTTTGTCTTTTCTTCCTGAGGTAGTCAATGTATGAACAAAACACTGAGGGAACATGTGTCACTACATTTGTTAAGGGGTTGAACCAATCCAACGGAGAAGCCCAAAGATGGCAAGTGTCTTAGTTAGGGTTTTTATTGCTGGGAATAGATACCATGACCATGGCAACTCTTAAAAAAACATTTAATTGGGGTGGCTTGCTCATAGTTTCAGAGGTCCAGTCCATTATCATCATGGCGGGGAGCATGGTGACATGTAGGCAGATGCATAATTGGAAACATAGCTGAGAGTCCTGTATCTTGCCAGCAACAGGAAGTTGTCTGAGACACTGGGCAATATCTGAGCATAGGAATCCTTAAAGCCCACCCCCACAGTGACATACTTCCTCTAACAAGGCCATACCCCCCCTACAAAGCCACACCTCCTAATAATGCCACTCCCTATGAGATTATGGAGGCCAATTACATACAAACTACTACAGCAAGCATGGCAGTTAACAGTTTGCATTCTTACTACTATTTCTAATAGCACTGCCACCACACTACTAAATACTGTGATAAACGTTTTACATGGATTGTTTTATTAATCCTCACAAGACTCCATGAATTTATCTGCATTTTACAGGTATAGGAACTAAGTTTGTAAGAGTTTAAACTATGACATTAAAAATAAAAATCACTTGGACTTCTGTCTTAGTCACTGTTCCATTGTTGTGAAGACCAGGACAAGTTTTATAAAAGAAAGCACTTAATGGAGGGAGGGGTTGCTTATAGTTTCAGAGGCTTAGTCCATTGTTGTCATTGCAGGGAACATGGTAGCAGGCAGATAGGCAGGCACGCACATGGGCAGGCAGGCAGGCAGGCAGGCATGATGCCGGAGATGTACCTGATTACATCCTGATTCACAAGCAGAGAGAGTGAACCTGGGTCTGACATGGGTTTTTGAAACCTCAGTGCCCACCCCCAGTGGCACACTTCCTCTCTCAAGGCCACACTTACTCCAACAAAGCCACACCTCCTAATCCTTCCAATCAGTTCCACTCTCTGGTGACTAAGCATTCAAATACATGAGTCTTATTCAAACCACCATACCCCCCAAAATCGATTACATGATCTATTACATGTCCAGTGTTAGGATTTAACCTAGTTCCTTTGGACTCCGCCTGTTTCCTTATCCCTTGTACTGCATTGTCTCCCCATCTTGACTGTGCTTAGTCATAGACAACAGTATTGTACTATCCAAGAAGTTAGGGAAATGAGAAATGTCTAGAAACTTGTTTCCGTGATGGTTAAAAGTTTATCTAAATCCAGAGAGATGTCTCAGTGTTAAGAACCAGTACTGGAAGCCAGGTGTAGTGACACACCTAATCACAGGAGGCAGAGGCAGGGGGAATCTCTGTGAGTTTTGATACCAGTCTGATCTGCATAGAGTGTTTCAGGACAGCTGGGGCTATACATAGGGGCCTTGGGGAGAGGGAGGGAGGGAGGGAGGGGAGGGAGAGAGCTCCTTTGCTTTTTCAGAGGACTCAAATTCAATTCCCAGCACTCACATCAGCTGGTTCACAACTGCTTATAAGTGTAACTCCGAGAATCGACACCTCTGGCCTTTGTGAGCACTGGCCCTCGTGTACGCATACCTACACGCAGACCACACACATGCACAGAATTAAAAAAGAGTTTATTTAAAGTAGCTCATTGCTGGATAAAGGAGATATCATACAATATTCAAATACTTTGTGTTTAAAAGACAGTGAATTTTACAATATGCTAAATTAAGGTCTCTTATTTTGGACTATGGATATGGGATCTAAGCATAAGTGACTGAAGCGACGCCTCAGCAGTTAACAGTGCTTACTGTTCTTGCAGAGGACCCAGGTTTGGTTCCCAGCACCTATGCCATGTGGCTCACAACCATCTAAATCTCCAGTTCCATGGGCCCAATGCCCTCTTCCACTGGCACTGGCACAGATGTGGTATAAATAAACTCACACAGACATAAACACACATACACATTAAGTAAATCTTAAGAATGCATGATAAAACCATTCCCAAAGAAACTAATGTTCACATTGCCTCCTTCTACGTGTATATCTGTTCTTCAACCGGGGCTGTTCCTAAAGCTACGAAGAAACTTCCCAATGTGCTTGTCTTCTTGGAAAGATCCTCCTCGTGTTCTAAAGTCCTCGCAGCCAGAAGCTGTACTCAGTATGGCAAATAATGCACTGGCCCTTGCACCTCTCCAGACATTGACTGAGGAGGAAATGATGATGAAGGAAGCAGGTCAGTGCATTTCTCAACCTCACCCTATAATCCCTCTGGTTATGAGTTGGGCCTACAGAGTGAAACTATATGAGACAGCCTACAAGATATGTTGATCTATGTTGTTGCTCTGTTTGGGAGACTTTACGGGAGTTTTCTTTTTTCTTTTTTTATTTTTTGAGACAGAATCTTTCCATGTTGCCCATATGGGTCTCAAACCCCTGGACTCAAATAACCTTCTTGTCTCAGCCTCCAAAGTAGCTCGGATTTAGTAATGAGAATGGAATTTTCATATAATAACTTTGAAAAAAAAGGTAATGCTGATGCAAAAACAATAGCAGAATAAAAGGCTAGGTTGCAAGTTAAGGCTTCTCTGTTCCCTGATTCTCCAGATATTCCCCGAAGCCACTTCATTGCTAGTCCCTAATATAGCCCCTGGAGGGAAGACATGATGCTAACCACCCTACAACACACAGGGCAAACATCTCAACAAGGGCTTGTCTGCCATGCCCCAGAACATTCTTAGTACTGAGGGAGAGAAACCTCCCTATATATGGCCATGCAGCTATTAAAAGGTCCTTGTTAGATGGGATGTGCTGGCGGAGAAAGATAACCAAGGTGTAAATAGGGAGACAATAGACATGGGGTATCATGGTGCATGCCTTTAATCTCAGCATTCCAAAGGCAGAAGCAAGCAGATCTTTGTGAGTTCAAAACCAGCCTGGTCTCATAGTGAGTTTCAGGGCTACGCCATGAAATTATGTCTCAAAAAAGAACAAAAAGAAGAAGCGGAGGAGAAGGAAAGTAGGAAGAAGGTTAAATGTATGTCTTATGGTTGCTTTGTGTAATAGAAGTTAGCTGATAGGTAGAACATCTAAGGCAGAGATATACAGAAGACTAAAGGGAAGCTCTCAGAAGGAGTATATCAGTTTAAAATTAGTTACCTTTGGGGAGATAAACTAAAAATCCAGGATAGGAGAATAGTTTTCATTTTATTATGCCTTCCATATTATTTATATTTTTTGCTCTGAAGGGGAATTAGGAGATTGCTTTTTTCCCTGTATTTAAAGAAGGAAGTCATAATTTTTATTTTGAAAGACTAAATATAGTCATGTGTATTTTATTTATTTATTTATTTATACCTTGTCTTTTTTATAAATTTATTATTTTACATGTCGATCCCAGTTCCCCTCCCTCCCTCCCTTTTACCCTCTCTGCCCTCTCACATGCACCCTAACCACCCTCCCCTCCCATCCCCCCACCCCAATTCCATATGTAGGGGAATGCCATCCAGTTGGGGTCATGTAGATCTGACAGGTCATGTGAAGTAGGGACTAGGGCTTCTCTCCTGCCTCTAGGTTAAAGCAGTTATCCCTCCATGGGGGATGTGTTTGCAGGGTCCTTTTGTGCACCAGGGAATATACATCCTGGCTCCACTGTCTGAGGTCCCTTAGACTGCTCAGTCCTTCTGGCTGAGACCCATATTCAGGGGGGCCTGAGTCAGTCCCATGCTGGGGGCCCGTAAGCTCCTCCTTGTTCAGGTCAGCTGTCTCTATGTGTTTCTGCAGCCTGGTCTTGTCCTCTCCATCTGCATCTGGGTTCTAGTTCGACTCAGTGTTTATGTATGGGTGTTTGCTCCTGTTTCACTATCCGGGAAGGGCATTTATGGTAGCCTTTCCATGGATGCTCAAATTGTTAGTTGGCAGAAGTCTTGTAGTTCTCTAGACTTTTCTTTGGGTTCAATTTTCTCTTCAAACCAATATTGGCTCCCTCTTTTATGTTCTCTCTCTCTCTCTCTCTCTCTCTGTCTGTCTGTCTGTCTCTCTCTCTCTCTCTCTCTCTCCTGTCTTCTATTCCTAACAGGACTCAATCTTCCTGGTCACACATGTTTTCCTTTCCTCCTCCTCGTTTTCTCCTACTTCTCTCTCCATTCACTGCCCCCCCCACTTCCCCTGTGCTCTGGGGGACTTGTCCCTTCCCGCTTCTGTGAGGGACTTTATATGAATCTCTTAGAATACACCTTGTATCCTAGTTCCTTTGGTGGTATGAATTATAGGCTGGTGATCCTTTGCTCTAGGTCTAAAATCCATATATGAGTGAGTACATATTATGTTTCTCTTTTTGTGACTGGGTTACCTCATTCAGGATGGTTTCTTCAAGTGCCATTTGCCTGCGAATTTCAAGATTATTTTTTTCTACAGAGTAGTATTCCATTGTGTAGATGTGCCACATCTTCATTATCCATTCTTCAATTGAGGGGCATCTAAATTGCTTCCAGGTTCTTGCTATTACAAATAGTGCTGCTATGAACATAGTTGAACAGATGTCATTGTTGCATGGGTGTGGATCATTTGGGTATATGCCTAAGAGGGGGATTGCCGGGTCCTCTGGTAAACTAATTCCCATTTTCCTGAGGAACCGCCATACTGATCTCCAAAATGGCTGTACAAGTTTGCACTCCCACCAGCATTGGAGGAGTGTTCCCCTTTCTCCACATCCTCTCCAGCATGAGTCATCATTGGTGTTTCTAATTTTAGCCATTCTGGCAGGAGTAAGATGGTATCTCAAAGTTGTTTTGATTTGCATTTCCCTGATAGCTAAGGATATTGAGCACTTTCTTAAGTGTCTTTCAGCCTTTTTGATTTCCTCTATTGAGAATTCTTTCTTCAATTCTGTACCCCATTTTTAAATAGGGTTATTTGATGTTTCCTGAGTTCTTTGTATATTTTGGAGATCATCCCTTTGTCGGATATAGGATTGGTGAAAATCTTTTCCCAGTCTGTGGACTGCCGTTTGGTCTTGTCCACTATGTCCTTTGCCTTACAGAAGCTTCTAAGTTTGAAGAGGTCCCATTTATTAATTGTTTCTCTCAGTGTCTGTGCCCCTGGAGTTATGTTCAGGAAGCAGTCTCCTATACCAATTTGTTCAAGGGTACCTCCTACCCTTGAGGTTCAGTGTGGCTGGATTGATGTTGAGGTCTTTGATCCATCTGGACTTGAGTTTTGTGCATGGCGACAGATATGGATCTATCTGCAGTCTTCTACACACCCTCATCCAATTGGGCCAGCACCATTTGTTGAAGATGCTGTCCTCGCCCCATTGTATAATTTTAGCTGTTTTGTCAAAAATCAGGTGGGTTAATAACAGGATTTTCAATTTGATTCCATTGGTCTACCTGTCTATTTTTGTGCCAATACCAGGCTGTTTTCAGAACTATAGCTCTGTAGTAGAGCTTAAAGTCAGGAATGGTGATGCCTCCTGAAGTTCTTTTATTGTATAGGGTTGTTTTGGCTATCCTGGGTCTTTTGTTTTTCCATATAAAGTTGATTATTATCCTTTCAAGGTCAGTGAAGAATTGTGGTGGGATTTTAATGGGGATTGCATTGAATCTGTAGATTGCTTTTGGCAAGATTGCCATTTTTACTATGTTTATCCTACCTATCCAAGAGCATGGGAGATCTTTCCATTTTCTGGTATCTTCTTTAATTTCTTTCTTTAGATCCACAAAGTTCTTATTATATAGGTCTTTTACTTGTTTGGTAAGCATTACACCAAGATGCTTTATGTTGCTTGTAGCTATTGTAATGGGTGATGTTTCTCTGATTTCTTTCTCTGTCTCTTTGTCGTCTGAAAAAAAGTAGGGCTACTGATTTTTTTGAGTTTATCTTGTATCTTGCTAGTTTTCTGAAGGTGTTTATCAGCTGTAGGAGTTCCCTGGTAGAGTTTATTGGGTCGCTTATGTAAACTATCATATCATCTGCAAATAGAGACAGTTTGACTTCTTCCTTTCCAATTTGGATCCCCTTGATCACCTTTTGTTGTCTTATAGCATTAGCTAGAACTTCCAGTACAATATTGAAGAGATATGGAGAGAGAGAGAGCAGCCTTGTCTTGTTCCTGATTTTAGAGGAATTGGCTTAAGTATCTCTCTATTCAGTTTGAAGTTGGCAGTTGGTTTGCTGTATATTGCTCTTATTATATTTAGGTATATTCCTGTTATCCCTGATCTCTCCAAGACCTTTATCATGAAATGGTGTTGAATTTTGTCGAAGGTTTTTTTCAGCATCTAGGGAGATAATCATATGGTTTTTCTTTTTCTGTTTGTTTATATGGTGGATCACGTTGATAGATTTTCGTATGTTAAACCATCCCTGCATTCCAGGGATGAAGCCTACTTGGTCATGGTGGATGATTTCTCTGATGTATTCTTGAATTCGGTTTGACAGTATTTTATTATTTTTGCATCGATGTTCATCAGGGATATTGGTCTGTAGTTTTCTTTCTTAGTTGTGTCTTTGTGAGGCTTGGGTACCAAGGTTATTGTGGCCTCATAAAAAGAGTTTGGCAATGAATCTTCTGTTTCTATTTTGTGGATCAGTTTGAGGAGTATTGGTATTAGTTTTTCCTTGAATGTCGGGTAGAATTCTGCACTGAATCCATCTGTCCCTGGACTTTTTTTGGTTGGAAGGCTTTCGATGACTGCTTCTATTTCATTGTGGGTTATAGGTCTATTTAAGTTGTTTGTCTGTTCTTGATTTAATTTTGGTAAGTGATGGTTATCCAGAAATTTGTCCATTTCCTTTGAATTTTCAAGTTTTGTGGAATACAGGTTTTCAAAGTATGACCTGAAAATTGTCTGGATTTCCTCTGTGTCCATTGTTATGTTCCCCTTTTCGTTTCTGATTTTGTTAATTTGCATGCTCTCTCTCTCTTCTCTCTCTCTCTCTCTCTCTCTCTCTCTCTCTCTCTCTCTGCTTTTTCGTTGGTTTGGATAAAGGTTTGTCTATCTTGTTGATTTTCTCAAAAAACCAAATCTTTGTTGCATTGATTTTTTGTATTATTTTCCTGGTTTTTATTTTGTTGATTTCAGCCCTCAAGTTGATTATTTCCTGGTGTCTACTCCTACGGGGTGAGTTCGCTTCTCTCTGTTCTAAGGCTTTCAGTTGTGCTGTTAATTCTCTTATGTGACTATCCTCTGTTTTCTTCATATGGGCACTTAGTGCAATGAACTTCCCTTGTAGCACTGCTTTCAAGGTGTCCCATAAGTTCGGGTATGTTGTGTCCTCATTCTCGTTGAATATTAGAAAGTCCTTAATTTCTTTCTTTATTTCTTCTTTGACCCAAGTATGGTGCAATTGCACATTGTTCAGGTTCCATGAGTTTGCAGGTTTTCTGCTATTTGTGTTGTTGTTGAATTCCAGTTTTAAAGCATGGTGGTCTGATAAGGTACAGGAGACTATTCTTATTCTCTTGTATCTGTTGAGGTTTGTTATGCCACCTAGTATGTGGTCAATTTTAGAGAAGGTTCCATGTGGAGTAGAGAAGAAGGTATATTCTTTTGTCTTTGGATGGAATGTTCTATAGATGTCTGTTAAACCCAGTTGAGACATAACTTCTGTTAGTTCTTTTGTTTCTTTGTTGAGTTTCTGATTTGTGATCCTGTCTAGTGTTGAGAGTGGTGTATTGAAGTCTCCCACTACAAGTGTGTGAGGTTTTATATAAGCTTTGAGTTTTAGAAGTGTTTCTTTTACAAATGTGGGTGCCTTTGTATTAGGGGCATAGATGTTCAGAACTGAGACTTTGTGTTGATGGATTTCTCCTTCGATGAATACAAAATGACCGTCTTTATCTCTTTTGATTAATTTTGGTTTGAAGTCTAACTTGTTAGATATTAGGATAGCCATGCCTGCTTGCTTTTTGGTTCCAATTGATTGGAAAATCTTTCCCCAACCCTTTACCCTGAGGTAATGTCTATCTTTGAAGCTTATCTGTGTTTCTTGTATGCAGCAGAGGATGGATTCTGTCTTCGTATCCATTCTGTTAGCCTGTGTCTTTTTATAGGTGAATTAAGACCATTAATGTTGAGGGTGAGTAAGGACCATTGATTGTTGATGCTTGTTTGATTTAGGTTTGTTGTTGGCAGTGGTATTGTGAATATATTAGTTCTGCTTTACCTTTGTTTTCTGATGTAGTTAGATTATCTGTTGCCTACATTTTTGTGGGCATAGTTACCTTCCTTGGGTTGGAGTTTTCCTTCCATTACTTTCTGTAGGGCTGGATTTATAGATACGTTTTGGGAAAATCTGGTTTTGTCATTAAATATCTTGTTTTCTCCATCTATAGTGATTGAGAGTTTTGCTGGGTATAGCAGCCTGGGCTGGCATCCATGTTCTCTTAACACTTGTAGAACATCTATCCAGGACCTTCTGGCCTTGAGGGTTTCCATGGAGAAGTCAGGTGTAATTTTGATAGGTCTGCCTTTATATGTTACCTGTCCTTTTTCCTTTGCTGCTCTTAATATTCTTTCTTTATTCTGTATGCTAGGTGTTTTGATTATTATATGTCGAGGGGTCTTTTTTCTTTGGTCCAGCCTCTTTTGGTGTTCAGTATGCTTCTTGTACTTTCATGGGCATGCCCTTCTTCAGATTGGGAAAGTTTTCCTCGATGATTTTGTTGAATATGTTTTCGGCACCTTTGAGCTGGGCTTCCTCACCTTCCTCTATGCCTATTATTTTTAGGTTTGGCCTTTTCATGGTGTCCCACATTTCCTGGATGTTTTGTGTTAAGGATTTGTTGTATTTATAATTTTCTTTGGTCAATGAATCTATTTCTTCTAGTTTATCTTCTGTGCCTGAGATTTTCTCTTCCATCTCTTGAATTCTGTTGGTTATGCTTGCGTCTGTAGTTCCCGATTTTTTGCCCAGTTTTTCTATTTCCAGCATTCCTTCGGTTTCTGTTTTCTTTATTGTCTCTATTTCAGTTTTCAAATCTTGAACCGTTTCCTTCACCTGCTTAATTGTTTTTTCTTGGCTTTCTGTACTTTCTTTTCTTTCCTTAAGGAATTTGTTCATTTCTTCCACTTTTTTGTTTGTTTATTCTTCCATTTCTTTAAGGGATTTTCTCACATCTTCTTTGAGTGCCTCTATCATTTTTATGATGGTAATTTTTAAGTCGTTCCCTTCTGCTTCCTCTGCTTTGTTGTTGTGTTCCGTTCTAGTTGGTGTAGGTTCCCGAGATTCTGGTGGTGTCATGCTTGTCTTTCTGTTGTTAGGTGTTTTCTTGTATTGCCGTCTTCCCATAGCTTCTTCCAGTAGGTGTTGGTGGGGTCTCCCCCTCTCTCTATGGTACTTCCCCAGTGGGCTTATGTGGGTCAGAGGTTCGATATCTGTAGCTCTGGGTGGTCCAAGCTCTATAGGAGGTCTCTCCTCAGACAGGGACCCAGGGATGGGGTCAGGGATGAGGATCCAGTAGAAGATGCCTGCAGAAACTCAGAGTGGTCCTGCAGAGATAGGCAGATCTCTGCGAGGGGCCCGGGACTCCCACAGAGGACTGGAGGCGGGGTCAGAGACCAAGCAGGTGGAAATTACAGGTGGTCCCGCGTGGATAGGCAGGTCTCCTGTGTTCAGAGTTGCTCTGAGATATCCCCGAAATAGTGTGGATTGTTGGCTCCCCCCTCTGTCCCAGTGCTCAACCAGAGCGGCGGGACAGTGGGCAGGGTAGGGCACAGGGTAGGGGGGCAGGCTCGCGGTGGGGATGGGTGGGAGTGTATCAGAGCTCCAAGGGTGCTCTCGATGGGGACAGGACACAGGAGCAGCAGAAGCAGGGGCCAACCCATGGAGTTGGTGGGGGGGAGGCTGTAGGGGAGCGACTGCCCCAATTGGGCCCAGACTCACCTCTAGCCAATGGCTGGTGGAAGAGGACAAAGGCTGGGCTCTGTCATGTGTATTTTAATTTATTGGTTAAAAAGTAGTTGTTTATCAACAAACTGTTCATGAACTATTTCTTTCTTAAAGATGTCCATTTTATCTATGTAAACATAGACTTACCAGCAATTCTTTCTCCCCCACAGTTAAAAAATTTGCACAGGAACAAATTGCTCCCTTGGTTGCAACTATGGATGAAAATTCAAAAATGGAGAAATCAGTGATACAAGGATTATTTCAACAAGGGGTATATGTTTCATTATTCTTGTTTCAAACTTTGCATTATTTAAATTTTTTTACACACACCATATTTTTATCATATTCATTTCCCTTCCCCTACTTCTTCCAGCTCTTTCCTCACCTCCCTACCCACCAAACTTCATGTTCTTTCCCTCTCAAAAATAAAACGACAAAAAATACCTATATAAAGTAAAAAGCACACAAATAACATGGAGTCCATTTTGTGTTGGCCAACTACTTTTAAATACATTTTGTATATAAAAATATATGCAGACTTTTCAATTGAGAGGTTCTAATGAGCAAAGTGAGTTCCTCACTCCTAGTCAAAAATATATGTTTCTTTTCACTTAAGATCTTAGTTGACTTTATACTGTTAAAGATTTTGAACTGAACTGATATTTTAAATTATAAATGTTTTTAAAGAGGTCCACTAGTCTCTGGTGGAGCCGAGGCATGGAACACTAGTAACTCAGCATCCTGTAGTGCACAGGGCAGCTGCAACAAAGAACTGGCAAGCTCCATCAAATAACACACATTATAGTCACTGTGTGTGGTTTCTTGTGTGGGGGGGCAGTCTTAAAGCAGAGCTGACATCTGAGTTCCACACTAACTAGATTTCCAGCTTTGCAATTCACATAGCCCTTTGGTGAGAATATGACGTACAAAATAGATTAAAGCAGAATTAATCTGGCTATGAGTAGGGTGTTATCAGTGTGGAAACTCCAAGGAAAAACATCTTAAAAGTCACCATACTGAGCCAGGTGGTGGTGGAACATGTTTTTAATCCCAGCACTCAGGAGGCAGAGGCAGGTGGATCTCTCTGAGTTCAAGGCCAGCCTGGTCTACAGAGCGTGTTCTAGGACAGCCTGGGATACAAAGAGAAATCCTGTCTTAAAAAACAAAAAACAAAGCAATCACCATACTCATTCCTGGTGTCTTCCTTCTATAGGTGAAAATACCTTTTTTTTTTTTTTTTTTTTTTTTTTTTTGGTAACTAAGGATGTGCCAGAACTAGTCACTGCTATTCAGTATTCAGCACCATCTTTCTTGTCTTATCTGTTACCTCATTGAAAAATTACTTTTGGCACTAAGCCATATAATTTCATTTCTTCTTGTTTTAATGGGATCAGTTTTTGATAATTTTTCTAACTTGGTTTTTTGTTTGTTTGTTTTTGTGTTTTTGAGACAGCGTTTCTTTGTGTAGCCTTGGCTGTCCTGGAACTAGCTCTGTAGACCAGGCTGGCCTCGTGCTCAGAGACATGCCTCTGCCTCCTAAGTGCTGGGATTGAAGGTGTACACCACCACCCCCTGGGCTAGCTTTCTGTTATCAATGAAACACTTAGGAAAATGGGATCCTATGTGGAGATATACTGACCCACACAGAAGCCTGGTGAGTAAGACAAAGACCCCATAGTTTATCTTCCAGCTCAGCTCTGCTGTCATCATTGACAGACTCCGTCCCCACCCTCAGGCTTCTGTGGGGAGTCCTTTCACAGTCTCACAGCTTGAGAATTGCTCTCCTGAAGTAGCAATTCTTGTATTTAGGGCCTTGTGCACTCACCATCCACCTCAATAAACTCCTCTTTCAGTAGCTCACCTGCCTCCTAACCCTATAGTACAATGCTAGGCATCTGCCACATATTTCCAATTAAAGAGTACTAGTGACTTTTATAGAGAAGCAGTATTGCTAACAGTTGCTCACAATGGGAAAGCACTTTCAGTTCTCTCCCAGGGCAGTTTTTATCTTTTGTGGTTCTGCCTTCATGCCGGCTACATCACCAGCCTGAAACATATTGCCAAAGCCCTAACTCACCAGAGCTGTTTTAGGGGAGCCTAGAGAGAAAGAGAGCGCCACCACTTCTGCTATCAGATATGGGTCTTGAGCCACTTGTTTATGTCATGTTCCCTTCCTAAAATAAGGACAATTAAAGGTAGAGCAGTGCTTAGGACATTTCATGCCCCAGACTTAGGCATTGAGACCCAATTCGACCTATTGGGAAGCCTTGGCCAACATTTAGTCTTATATATCAGCATCTATGACTTGTTGGGTGTGTTACTCAAACACTAACAAATGTATGCTAACTGGCTTGGACTTGCTAAAGTGGCCCAAAATGGATGGTCATGTTAGTAGTTGTCTCTAGGGAAAAGGTCAAGTAGAAAGGCCTTCTTAGAAGACACTATCATGCTGACTAGAACTGTAGACATGTCCACTGAGAGATGGTTAGTTTCATGTCTTCACTTATTACATCAAATCAGTATACAGGGGCCTGAGTAGAAATACTGAAATATCTCATGTAGTTCTTCATAAGAGAAGCCATAAGATCATGTTTCAAGGCATTTTGTGTCTTTCTTTGTTATCCCAGGCCCAAAGCTGGGGCACATCTAACATAAATTTCATCCTTCTCATAAAAACAAAAAACAAGCAAAAAAAATAGTGTTTTTAATAGAGTATTGTTTATACACAATAGCTATATCAAATTAAAAATACATAAAATTTTAAAGTTCAGAATATATATATACATACACACCTATATACTACATACATACATATATACATATATAATGGGCTATGGCTGTAGCTTGCCTAGCATCAGGGGCTCTAGGTCATTTATGTGTTTACAATTTAGTTTTGAATTTTTACTTGCAAGGAGTTTCCCAGTGTAAACAGCTTTCCTCACCTGTCCCATCTTTCCTCCCTCTGTCATTGTTTTAGCTGATGGGCATTGGCATTGATGCAAAATATGGAGGAACAGGTGCTTCCTTCTTCTGCTCTATCATAGTGATAGAGGAGCTAGCCAAAGTGGATGCATCTGTGGCTCTCGTGTGTGACATCCAGAACACAGTAGTTAACAACCTGTTTGGAAAACTCGGTACAGAAGAACAGAAGGCTACCTATTTGCCTAAGCTGGCTACAGAAAAAGTGAGTTGAAATGACTTGTTGAAATGGATGGGATCAAAGTTTACAGTATTTGGGGGAGAAAAGTAACTGCAATATTGACTTCAATCATCCAAGGCCACAATCTAGCACCATCGATCAACCAAGCAATACTCAATACATTGCTGCTACCAGAGAAATACATTCTACCTCTCATTTGTCATGTGGAAATCTAGGAAACAATCATCAGCCAATTCCTTGTAGCCAGGCATGGCAGTGCATGCTTGTAATCCTAGGACTCAGAGGCTGAGGCAAGAGGACTACTCGTTTGAGGCCGCATTAGGCTACATAGCTATTTCCAGGCCAGCCTGGTATGTACAGTGAGAGCCTGTCTCAAAAGAAAAAAAGAAAAAAAAAAATCAACACATCTACCTCAGTTCATTTTCCCAGTCCCTTTGTCGAGATCACTTTTGTCTTAGGGTTTCTATTGCTGTGATGAAATACCATGCCCAAAAAACAAGTTGGGGAGTAAAGAGCTTATTTGGCTTACACTTTAGCATTGCTGTTATCACTGAGGGAAGTCAGGACAGAAACTCAGACAAGGCAGAATCCCAGAGGCAGGGGCTGATGCAGAGGCCGGGGCTGATGCAGAGGCCATGGAGGGAAGCTTCTTACTGGCTTGCTTCCCATGGCTTGCTCTTATGGAACCTAGAACCACCAGCCCAGTGATGGCAACTGACCTACCATGGGAAGGACCCTCCCCCATCAATCACTAATTGAGAAAATGCCTTACAGCTGGATTTCATGAAGGCATTTCCTCAGCTGAGGCTCCTTCCTCTCTGATGACTCTAGCTTGTGTCAAATTGTGTCAGCACAACATTCTACTAAAATTAAATAAGGTTAAGCATATGTTGTTTTGTTTTTCTCTGGCCTCAAACTTACAGTGGTCTTCCTGCATTATCTACCTGAGTTCTGAGGTGGCTAGTGGCTCTAAGCGTGCCTTGGGAAGTCTTAATGAAGACAAACTAAGAAATGCTACCCAGCAAGCATGTATTCCTAAATCCTTACTTTACCTTAGATTAATAGTAAGGGTGCTTTCAAAAAAATAATACTCACAATTCTATTTTGATAAATATAGACCTTTGTTTTTTCAAGACAGAGTTTCTCTGTAGCTTTGGAACCTATCCTGAAAGTCACTCCATAGATTAGGCTGGCCTCAGACTCACAGAGATCCTCCTGTCTCTGCCTCCTGAGTGCCAGGATTAAAGTTGTGTGCCACTACTGTCCAGCGACTTTTTTTTTAATATAGGGTCTTACTATGTAGTTTTGGCTGGTCTGGAACTTCGTATATAGGCCAGGCTGGCCTCAAACTCACAGAGATCTGGCTGCCTTTGCATTCTGAGTTCTGGGATTAAAGGCATGCCCCACCACGCCCAATCCAAATATAGATATTTTTATTTTTTTTGAAAAGCTAACTAAAGGTTGACTTCCAAATGTCCATTTTTAATGCTGAACATTGACAGTACACAACTTTAATTCCATTATTCAGGAGGCAAAGGCAGGTAGATCTCTTTGTTCAAGGCCAGACTGGTCTACAGAGCAAGTTCCTAAGACAGCCAGGGCTACACAGAGGAACCCTGTCTCAAAAACAAAACAAAGCAAAACAGTCACAAATGTCCACTTTATCCTATGACTTGTTATGCAAAGAATACATAAAAATTAATTTGGTTTTTTTGTTTGTTTGCTTGTTTGTTTCCCCTTGAGTATATAGTTAGGGAGCTTCTGCCTTTCTGAAGCTGGAGCTGGTAGCGATTCTTTTGCTTTGAAAACAAGAGCTGATAAAAATGGAAATGATTACATCATCAATGGGTCGAAGATGTGGATTAGCAATGCTGAACATGCAGATATCTTCCTGGTTTTTGCAAATGTAGACCCCACCTCTGTAAGTTTAAAGAAAAATTCCTTTCCTCCCTCTTCTCACCTTTTCTTTTCCTTCTTCCAGTCCCTTCTTAGGATAGGGCTTAAGTTCCTAGTTCTGTGAGAGTTGAATTGACCATTTTTTCACTCTTACTGATTTAAAATGACTGTTGTTGGCAAAGTTATTAATTACATATAAGGCCACTTGTTACTTCTCTCCTAATCTTTAATTGGGTAGAACTTTAACTTTTCTGTGCAATAATTAAGGATTTAAGTACTTGTAAAATACAGTTACTTTGAAGACTATTGAAGAATATTACTTTAAGAGTATTTTATTCAAGGTGGAAGAAAATCACACAGCAAAATGCTAAGTATGTATCATTTTTGTTTTCTGATTTGTTTAAGAATTTCTAATTTAAAACATGGTATACTTATGAACACGTACTCATTATAAAAATAATTTTAACACCCATTGTGGTTTCTGGAAAAGTACAAGAAGTAATAAGATTCTGTCCTCTCTGGGTAATCCTGGCTGTCCTAGAACTTGATATATGGACCAGGCTGGCCTTGAACTCACAGAGAGCTGTCTGCCTCAGCTTCCCAAGTGCTGAGGTACACTCAAAGGGTATACTACTATGCATGACATAAGGTTCTTGATTATTAACTAATGGTCTCCAATTATTCTGGTTTTGTAGTGCACATATTACAATTAAGAGTCCTTTACTATTTATTACTAAAGTCTATGTTAGCTTTCTTTTTTTTTTTTTTTTTTTTTTTTGTACATGATGTATTTGTGTAGATTTGTGTAGATGTGCATCTGTAAGGGAACCAGAAGTCAACTTCAAACACTGTTTTTCAGGAACTGGCCACCTTTGTTTTAAAGATTGATATTTTTAAACCGGGCAGTGGTGGCTCACGCCTTTAATCCCAGCAGTTGGGAGGCAGAGGCAGGTGGATCTCTGTGAGTTTGAGACCAGCCTGGTCTACTGAGTGAGTTCCAGGACAGACTCCAAAGCTACAGAAAAACACTGTCTCAAAAATAAAAATTGTTTTTAACTAAGTATTTGTGTAGGGGTATATACATATGGGCACAGGTGCCCATGGAGTCCAGAAGATGTCAGATCCACTGCAGTGGAGTTATAGGTGCTTGTCAGCCACCCTATATAATGCATGTTGAGTTCTCTGCAAGAGCAATATATCCTTTTAACTACTGGATCTTTTCTCCAGCCCCCTAACTCTTTTTGAGGCAAGGTCACTCACTAGGACCTGGGCCTCACTGATAAAGCTTGGCTGACTGGCCAGCAAGCCCCAGGGATTTACCTGTCTCTGTCTCCCTAACACGGGTATCACAAGCACATGCCCAGCTCTTTAACATGGGTACTTTAGGACCCAACATACATCCTCCTGTTTGCACAACAGTAATTTACCAGCTGAGCCATCTCTCCAGCCCTGTACTTTTCATTTTATTTTTAACTCCTTATATTTATTCATTTTAATTTTTTTTATGTATGATTGTTTTGCCTGTGTGTACATTTGTGAGCCTCATGCATGTCTGATGCTCATGAAAGCCAGAAGAGGGAGCTGGATCCCATGAATGAAGAGTTGCAGACAGTTGTGAGCCACATTGTGGGTTCTGGGAACCAAACTCTGGTCCTCTGGAATGGCAACAAGTACTCTTAACTGCTGAGCTATCTCTGCAACCCCTTAGTTTTCTTACTCTGAGTTCTATAAACAGGAATTGTAAAAGCCCAAATGATAATCACATTTGAAATCTTTGTAGGGATACCGAGGCATCACCTGCTTCTTAGTAGACCGAGATACAGAAGGTTTTCATATAGCGAAAAAGGAAAATAAGATGGGCATAAGAGCTTCTTCCACCTGCCAGTTAACATTTGAGAATGTCAAGGTAGGTATTCAAGAATATTCTAGACTATTCAATAAAAGACTGATGAGATATAAGCCTTACATAGAGCCATAGGAAATATACGAGGAAAATGTCAAAACAGCAGATGGTGTAAGTAGGCACAAAAGAGTCCTTGTCGGAACTGGTCAGCAATTAAGGCCCAAAGCGGAAACTTTTCTGTCCAGCCTCTGGCCTAGAGAATAAATGCCAGAAGTTAACTTCAATTACTATTGTCTTTGCAACTTGTCACTTCTGAAACATTTATACTTTATAAGCTTGGTACTTGTGAACCAAACTCTGCTGGGAGGAGTTCTGAGGTTGGTACACCAGTGGCCACAAGATGGGGATGTTGCTCAGTGAGAGTGGAAAGCATCTAGGCAGCACTCCACAGAACAAGATCTCCAGGATGCTGAAGCTGAGCTAGAGCCTGCCTTGGGCAGGGTGGGTCGTCACAGAGCCTCACTCCTTCCTTCTTCCTACTTTTCCTTTATCATCCTCTATTCCTCCCTGGTCTCACTCCTAACTAAAGCTAAGTATTTTCTATTGTTCCTAGTATTAATTATTAGGGATATTTTGCTTTATGTATATGAATGTTATTTTGTGTGTTCGCACTCATGCCCAAAAGCTCTGGGAGAGCAGAAGAGATTATAGGAACTAGAATTATAGACAAATCCTCTGAACCACTAACACATCTCTCTCCTTCAAGTATTATTTTTTTTGTATTTTAAAGAAATGTTATAGTTTGTTTATTCCTTCCTCCTCCTCTACTAGGCAAGAGAGTGTGCACACTCACACATGTGCACTCACAGAAACACACACACACATGAATGCATGCACGAGCCATACATATATGCACACACATGTACATATAACTCAAATCACAACCCTTAATATATATTATGTTATATCATGCATATATATGTATATATAGTTACTCTCTCCCCATGCTCTCTCTTGTCTCCTTCCTACTCACACACCTTGGTAGACTTTTCTAAAAGTGAATTGTCTCAACCAAAGAACAGTGTCTTACTCTTGCCTTTGAAAATACTTCATTTTTTTAAAGTTTCTAATAAATTATCTCAACACTATTAACATACAAGAATTGCAGATAAATTATAATACTTTTATGTTATTGACAAATTACATAAGATTCCCTTTTTCTAAATCAATTCATTCACTGATAGACTCAGGAGTATGTAATAAGAGTAACACAGACTTGGGAAGACAGTGAGGAGATACAGATGTCAGTGGGAAATCAAACTGTAGTTTGGGGGGTGGTTCTTAATTGTGTTGGATTTATTTATTTATTTATTTATTTATTTATTTATTTATTTATTTTCTGTGTGTGAATGTTTTGCCTTTGTGTGTGTGTACCTACCACATGGGTGCCTGGCACCTTCAGAAGTCACTGGAGGATGTCAGATCCCCTTAAACTGGATATAAGGATGGCTGTGAGCCATCATGTTGAGTGCTTGGAGTTGAACTCATGTCCTTTGGAGAAACAAGTGCTGAGCCATCTGTGTGGCTTCTCTAGTTGAAGTTTACTCAATAATGTGATGGAGTAATATAACAAAAGTCAAGGACATACATACACTCACGCATGTTTGTGTAGTTTATATGTTTATGTAAACCTACTTTAAAAGTAAGTATATGTTTGTATTTTCAGGTTCCAGAGACCAGTGTTTTGGGGAAAGTTGGACATGGTTATAAGTATGCCATAGGAAGTCTTAATGAAGGCAGAATAGGGATTGCTGCCCAGGTAAGTCACATCTTAGCTCTTTCACATTTTGAGCCAATTAAAATTAAAAAAAAAAATTACACTAAAAGCAATATCTGGAAGCTTGTGAACACAAGGTGGCACCCTGCCCTTGCATGAGGAAAAGGAATGAGTTCAGATTATTTCTCTTAAATTCTTCTTTGGGCAATGATGTGTCCAGAAGATCACACAGTGGCTTGGTGATAGCTGCTTTATGCTTTAAGTATTATCTATTGCCTAGACCAGTAACTTGCTAGTATATTGCATATTAAATATGACATTATTTTTCAGTTAACTTTTCAAAACCAACCTGAAGTTCATTCTTTTAGAAACTTTTCAAATTAAGAATAATTGTTCTATTGTATAAGGATATTATGTGAAGATCCATATATATGTGAGTGTGTGTATATATATACATATATATATTCTATTATGTAAGGTTACATATGTATGTATATACATACATATGTATATAACCCTAATCACAACCCTTAATATATATTATATTATACCTCTTAATATATGTATATATTATTCTGGTTACTCTCTCCCCACACTCTCTTATCTCCTTCCAATCCCTGGCAACATTCATCCTACCAGATTCAGGGTTCATAACTACTGGTTTTGTTTAGTGATCAATTTCCAGGGCCATCTATGTGAGCATTGGGTTGGGGCTATGCATTGGAGCCTAGTGGAGTCACAAGGGTGTACACAACTGAAGGCAATGACTCACCCCCACCAAAACTCTGTCAGTAGCAGGTAGTTTAACAGTGAGAGTCGGGGCCCCCTAAGCTCTTCCTGAACTCATCAATAGTCAGATTTGTATTCAGTTTTAATCCATCACTAAGATTACCAATTTACAGCTTTTAGCATTTGATATAAATTACATCTGCTAACTGTTAAAATAGGTGAATATGGAATTATTATTACTCTATGTTTTTATGCTCTTCTTAACTTCATTAACAAACTTGTTCATTTTGGGGGAGAGTTTGCTGAGGATTGAATTTAGGATCCCAAACATGCTAACCATCTGCTGTACCTCTAAACTATACCCTCACCCTGATGTACTATTCTTGGATCAAGATTCAACTCCGCTTTCTAACAAACCTAGGAAGACCACTGGCATACCTGTGCTTTTAAAGGTTTTCTTGTTATGTAACTTTATCAGAAAGAGCATTAAAGCTCCAGTGTGGGACCTCATGGTTTCTAGACATATACATAATATTGATGTTCTGGTCATGAAGTTCATGACATGGGCTTTACTCCAATTACTCTATAATATCCTATAACTCAGTGAAATGTTAAGAGCAGCTATATAATGTGTCTCAGTGGGTGCTTGTGGAGGAAAAGGTATGTGTAACAGTGACCTAGAGTCACTGTCCCTCAAAACCCTGTAGTAGCAGAGACTTTATTTCTTTACTATTTAAAAAGGAAACATTTTTCCAAGATAGAAGTGCTTGCTTTTGTTCACAGTTGGTAATTTTGGTGTTTAAGCCAGTGGTATTGGTCCATGCCTGTGATCCTAGTTCTCACAAGGTTTGAGGCAGAAGGGTTGAGAACTTGAGGATAGATGTGGCATTTTCAAGGCCAGCCTGGGTACATAACAAAACCTATTTTAAAACACAAAATCAGGGCTGGAGGGATAACTCAGCAGTCAAGAGCACTGGCTGCTCTTCTAGAGACCCCAGATTTGATCTCCAACATCCACATAATGGCTCACAGCTAGCTGTAATTTCAGCCCCAGGGAACCCAGTGCTCTCTTCTGGCCTCTGAAGGTTCTGCATGCACACAATGCACAGACAAAGGCGCAGAAAAAACACATTAAAAGATAATGAAAAAAATATTTAAAAATCGAAATCAATCTTCACATTGATAGACATGCTGGAAAATGACATTATCTATAACCACAAAAAGCTTGCTGCCTCATATTAATTTGGGATTTGTGGGGGCGTTGCCCCCTTAATTTTAGATATGATCTTCTCTTCTCCAGAGAATACTAAATAAAGACTAAAAGAAAATGTGAATGAACACTAATGAAATATTGATGTTTGTAGGCATTTCCCCCCAAAGCTTTAAGTATTGATTTCTTTTTTTTTTTTAAACCTACATAGTTTGACATAATTAGATAGTGATTTACTAGCTACCTAATGTTGAAGTTTAGAAACCATTTTTAAGCTTGGATCGTTCAATAGATACGGAAATTGGTCAGCAATGAGACAGTTCAGCTAAAATTGTTACACCATCCTGACTTGTTCTTCAAGGGCGTAAATTAACACTTTTACCAGATTCTTTTATCAGTTGTCTGAACCCCAGTTAAGTCACCCGCAGAGCTTTTAGAAATGCTGATATTTTGGCACACTCCCTCATCCCCCTTTCTCCTACTCAGTCCACACCCTAGGTTTTCCTCTCTGAACTTAAAGCAAAACAAAACCAAAGAAAAGAAGTGACTTAACCACATTTGGCTCGCAGGACAGGAGAAACAGTCTGCAGTCTAGAGTCTTGGTTTAGTTCTGGTCTTAGCTCCTAGAGCTCACTTTATACCTGGAGAATCGTAGAGAGGACTTCAGAGCGACATTCTGTCTATATCAACATAGCTGTAGCCAAGATTTGCCTCTGTGCTAGAATTAAATACACTCACTCCTCCATATATGAAACCAGCCCATACTGATGCAGATGTCCAGGTACAATGGGTAATATGTAGTGAATACCCAGCACACCCCTCTCTTCATTCCCCTTCCTGCCTTCCCCAGTGCTTCAGTCTCCCTCCAAAGGAATTGCAACTTGGGAAACTAAAGGCATAAACTTGTATCAAAACACATTTTGATCTTTTGGCTTTTCTCTCCCTCTCTTTTTTTAACAGATGCTAGGACTGGCCCAAGGATGTTTTGACTACACCATTCCATACATTAAAGAAAGGATACAGTTTGGCAAACGAATATTCGATTTTCAGGTGTATAGAATTAAATTCTTTCTGTTGTCTTGAACTTTTCCCTCTTCCTATTGAAAGCCATGGAGGGGGTTCCCCAAGGATGTTTAGTTGGGAGGAGAAATAGGTCTCATGGCATACACTGGTGGCCCCCTTAATCTTTTCCAAGGGCAGAACCATGATCTTTGAGGCAGCTGTTGTATGTTTGGGTTGCCAGGGTGAGCACTGGGGAGCTGTCCACTCACCACCTCAGAAGTCCACCGTCTCCTGAGATCACACCCTGACCCTTCCAAGTACAGGCTCATATGACTTTATCTGAAATGCCTGGCTCTAGAAATGTTTCAGGCTTCAGGTGCCTTCAGAGTCTGGGACATTTTTGTGGACATTGTAAGATATCATAGGGATTCGAGGCAAATCTAAACAAAATTCATTCATATCCCATATATGCCCCATACGTAGCTTTGAGGTAATTTTATGCAATGCTTTTAATGATTTTATATATGAAACAAAATACCATGGGTTGAACTTCTACTTGTGGCGCATCCTAATACGCCAAAGGTTTGAGATTTTGGAGCATATTGGATTTCAGGTTTTCAGATGGATTTCTGCGTGTAGGCAAAGCAGAGAATTTGATTCCCAAATTAATTTTCCTCAATACAAAGATGTCATGGTAAGCTGGAGGTGTGCCTTGATGGAGGTGTGCCCGCCTAGCATGTAGCAGAAGGCCTGAAGTTCAACGCCTATAGCACAGAAAGAGATGGCAGGAGTGGAAAGACATGTCATAGTCTCTGTCTTCACAGTGTCGGGACTAAGGGTGCAAGCAAACACAGGCTGGCACTACTGTTTATTCTTGGACATGGGAATAGACTCACATCAATATGATTAGTCCAAGGAAGAAAACTGGTGTGTCAAATATTCTTTCAGGGCTCTATAGCTAACAACTAAATGTGTTGTGGCCATGTTCAGAAATCAAAATTGTCTTAATGCAATCAAGCAAAGAACACTTGAGAGTTTTGCTCTATTAGGACTTAGTAGAAGCTCAATTTTTACCATGAACAGTTAAAAGTAATTATTAAATATATGAGAATCGAGGTTTCAAAACCTAACTATATGATGACATTATTTAAAACCTTGCCAAACTGTGAAGGATTGCACGAGCTTTGGAATTTTTCAAAACAGATTCAACAGTAAGACCTACCGTGTATTATTTAACTTTAGATTGCAGGTTTAAGATATTTAAAAGGAATGTATTTGGATTTATTTGGGAGTGTGTTTTGAGTCTGTGAACATCGTGTATCTTGCTTGCAGTTAGAAGCAAGCTGAGCATTGCGAACTGTCATTTTCTAACATGGGTCTGAATGTTACAGGGGCTCCAACACCAAGTGGCTCAAGTGGCCACCCAACTGGAAGCCGCACGGTTACTAACGTACAACGCTGCTAGGCTTGTAGAAGCCGGAAGGCCATTTATTAAAGAAGCATCTATGGCCAAATATTATGCATCAGAGGTAAAAATAGAAGGAGTTATTCAGTCTCTTTTTTTTTTTTTTAAATATATGAGCTTATTAGTCTTTCGCTTGGGAATATTGATTGAGCTTAGGTTATCCTGCAATCTTCCAAGAAAGAAAATGTTCACTTTTCACTTCCTGCAGTAGAAGTGTGGAAGGATAAAACTGCTGGGGAAAGATGTATTAGTTCTGTAGTGTCTCCGTGTTTTTATGAATGGCCAGTTCAGTTTGAAACACACCACCCCAAATACATAGAGGCCTCCTCTGAGTGATGGCCTCAGGTCCATGGTTTCAAGTTGGAGTAAAGATGTGTAAAGTAAATGCTGTGGAAGATGTGTTCATGGCAGGACCATAGGAGATTTAAAGCATCAAGAAAAGATGATTGGCATGTGTGATACTCAGACATATCCATTTTCTGTGTACACATGAAATGATGACAAGAGAGTCAACCCACATCATGGGCCAGGTCTCTCCCAGTCTTAACACTGAGTCAAGATTTAAGAGTATCCAATCTTTGGACATTCTTATCTCTAGATGTATTGGGTTGCTTTCATAGCTTTCCTGTGTTCATACAGCCCATGGGCAACAGGTTGGATATGCTGACAGATGTTCATTTAACCCTTGCAACTCCTAAAATGAGACACTGCCACGAACTGGAGTCAAGATGAGAGGGAAAAAGAAACTGGAACGGCAGGCTGGCCTTGGAGGGGGATGATCAGTTTGACTATTTTAATGGTGTCTCAAGGATATCCAGAGATAGCTTAACCGACAGACAGACAGACGCACACACACACACACACACACACACACACACACACACACACACACACTCCCCCTTCTCAATATCTCTCTCTCCCTCCCTTTCTCTTTCCCTTCTTCCTTCTCCCAGCCCTCTTTCTGGATCTCTCTCTCTCCGCCACCTATCCAGGCTCCATCATTTCTTAACCTAACTCCTGGGTCACCCAGCTGCTCTTATGGTCCATGTTGCTGTCCCTAGTCCAATCTTACTGTGGTTTTGATGTCCATGATGTCACTTTGAACTTTTCAGTGACTTCTCACAATAAATGGAACAATATTCATGCTAATTTCTCACAATGCTTTCCCTAGAGCCCTTGTATATGTTCTTCCTCAACTTGTAATGTCCCTAACTGGTGGTGTAGGTCTCAGCCAAGCTGTTTCCTCAGCTCACCATCTAAATCCCAACAGTTTTCCTGACAAGCACTTCTCTCTGCAGCTTGCAAATTTCTATGCCAATTGGTTTAATGTCTGTCTTTAAATGAACACAAGGACTGGATTGTCTCTCAATGTATATTTGCTAGCAAATGATGCCTGGTGCTAAGCATGTGCATATGCCCAAGTCTGATTTCTTTTTCAAAAACAAAAACAAATAAACAAACAACAAAAAAAAATGTTCTGTGAATTAGCAGTGCATTTTAGAGCTATGGCGTGGAGACTTTCAAAATAACTGTAGCCCTTCCAGTTGCTTACAGTGAATCTGAGCTCCAGAAACTGTCACTCACAGGCTCATCATGCACAAGTTTGCAGACTTCCAGTCTGTAATTTGCTAGTTGCCTTTGGTAGGTTGCTGGATTGACGACGAGTAAGTGCATTGAGTGGATGGGAGGAGCCGGCTACATCAAAGATTACCCTGTGGAAAAATTCTTCCGAGACGCAAAGATTGGTAAGTAGACTTTTGATGGCTTATTTTGTTTTGTTTTATTTGCCACTGTGGGTGTTTGGGCTCTAGTATTTGTCAAATTTGTATTACTAGTACTTAGGTAAACGCTATTTTAATCTCCACGGTATGTTTATTGACTTTTTCTGTGGCTGGATTTCCTCCTTCTTGGTCCTATCAGAAAAAAAGGAAATTATATTTCTAAAACCACCAAACTGACTTTTAAAATGCCCCAATAGACCTTTTAAGAAATCTGCGACGAAAGCCACTATCTTCATTTTTCTGGTGCAAAAATTGTTAGTGTTTGCCATTCCTGTAGTCTAATAGTGTGCTCTTTGAAGGTTGCTTCTAATTTCAGAAGGCAGCTGCCTCATCATGCCTGAGTGCTCCAATAGTGTTCCAGGGCTCTAGTCAGTGCTCCCCCAACAGTGAGGAGAGTTAACTAGGAACTCTGAAGGCTGCCAGGTTCTCAGAGGCAGCAGGGCTTATCCAGCAGGGCTTATTTAGGTCTGAGACCTAAATCCTCCACAGTTCAAAGCTGATTCTAGTACTCTACAGATCGAATGGAAAATTGCTATCTTAGTCAGAATGACTTTAGACACTGAATCCTGTTACTTAGATCAAATGCAGGGCTGATGTCATTAGCACTGATATCTTACATGGCCCTTTTTAGCTGTGGGTGAACTAATTGTCCTTTTCCCCCCTCTCTTTTGTTTAAGGTACAATATATGAAGGAACATCCAACATCCAGCTGAACACCATTGCAAAGCACATCGACGCAGAATTCTGATGCCTGTGGGGTCGGGCCCCTGTCTGGTGACACAGGCATACCACTTCCAACTGTAGTGCCTTGTTAAGTGGGGCCTGCAGAGCATTGCAGTGTTCTGTTTGAAGCCCCTTGTCCTTTTCTCTGTCCAGTCTACTCTAAAACTCTTTTGAAGCTTCTGTACACATTTATATTTCTTATCCTAGTTTCTGAGTATACACAAGTTTCACTGTGCCAGCATCCCGGAAGATGAAAACATTTGAAGGAACGGTACTGCTGACGGAAATAGTCACTTTATATTCCTACTAAATCTTTGTACTGCAGTTTGAATCAGAGGAACGTTTGTTACAGTCGGCAATTTTTATTCAATACTTTATAGATTCAGTGTTAAGTTGCTAAACAAGGTAGAAACTGATAAAATTTATTTGGAAAATCGAGGACTCCTAGTCCTAATATCAAAGAAATAGTAGAAAATACAGATGTAACTTATAGGCCATATAATTGGTAACAACAAAAGCCTAAAATATTATTTTTACCACCAAATGTTTGGCTGCTATAATTGACCTGTATGAAAGATGCATTACATGATAGCTTTAGCAGGACATTTAAAAACATGTCCCTGTATTAGTTTTCAACTATAAAGTTTAAATAATGTGGCTTAATCATCTGAAAATATTCAGTTATAATATTCATTAGATCATGCACTATTTTTTAGTACTGCACTTTAATTATTTTTCAAATTTTCAAATTTGGTTATTGGACTTTATCCTAAATAGTAATTAATTGAGAAATTTGATTTTTGTTTTAGTAATTCTCAAGAGAAATATTTTATCCCTATAAGGAAATAATATCACAATTTCATAAGGAATGGAGAACAGGAGACTAGTCTGAAAAGGTATATCTATTATAGATATATGTAATCATTTATATAGTATATTAAATAATTTTTATTGTGAAGACATCTATGTTTTACAATGCAAATGGCAAACAGGCAAAATCTAGTCAGATATCCAGCTGGTGAAACCACTGATCAGTATTAGGACTTTTTTTAGTCAGGAGAGGACCACCTCCAGTTGCAGAGCCTGAGTCCTCTGGAGAGAGAAGTGGACAGTAGACAAATAAGTTTCACATTTCCTGAGGAAACACCACATTAGACATGAAAAAATGCCCCAAGGCTCATGCAGTTGCTGAAAATGTATCATTGCTGCTAAATAGAAAGTATTTTAGTGCTTAATAGAAAGTATTTTAGTGCTTTTGCACAAGGATAATGTTTATTAAGAAAACTTGATGTTTTCTAAGTAATTTTGCTTTGCAGTCATGTTCATTGAGCTGAATTAATTTCCACAATGCAAATTATAGTTAAATATGCGAGGTTGGGTAAATACAATTGAGATAGGAATTACATTAAAACAGTAGAAAGAAACAGGACAAATTTAGACCTTGAATCCAAAGAGATAAAGTCTACTTGACTTTCAAATGGGAAAATGATGAAAACCCCTCAGCCAGTGTTTCAGAACATAAAGACAGATGGGTCTGATAAGAGAAGCAAGGGGTGGATCCAGTGCCCTAACGGAGCTCAGACAACTTTAATTTCTGTGATTGTGTGAAAGAGGTGTGGACTTACAGACAATACAGCCGGAGTCAGTATGAGGGAACAGAGTCCTACCTTCTCTAGAATGAGAAACACATGCAAGTGTGATAAATGCCGTGTTCTAACTCACTGCACCGGAGACACTCACTCTATACATACATGGACTTTAAATGTGTCCACAGAGTTCTAATTCTGTTTATATGCTTTGCGTATTTCACAAAGAGTAGTTAATATGAATTAATTATTAACATAATTACCAATCGAGCTTGTCTTCTTCTGTGAGCCCTTGTATCGTTTCACCAAAGAGGATGTTTTGGGGTCTACTCATATTTCTTCCATTATGTTTATTTTTTCTGGTTTCTGTGACTTTGTAATCTGTTATAAAACTATGTGCTTTGAATTTGTATCTGGTTGGAACCTAAAGCTGTTTGTTAATTTGTAGAATGAGAGCACATGGGGCACAGGAGCTGAAGAACTGACCTGTGTATACAGGTGGGACTGGTTTGCACAGTTAGGGCTCTCACTTAATCACCTGAGAATCAGTTAAGGAATCAATGCCAATGACTTGATAATGGTGGAACTTTAAACCTAGAAAGACCGCAGACAACCATAAAGGTAGCTCTGTCAATTTAAAAGTGAAGGACCCTTAATCGAGGTTGCGTTCTGAGATCATCCATCCAAGGACAAAGACAAGAATTCAGAGAGACTGACTCAGATGGAGTGTTCTTCCCCTTGCCAAACACAGTCGTTGTCCAGCAGACCTTGGATTTTGTTGTTGATTTATCTCAAGTTAACTGATAAAGGATGAACATTTCAGTGATGTTGTGATTGATCAGTCACTTGCCAAAGTCTCTTGGCCTGAACGATGATGTCAGATCGGAAGATGGCTGTGTGAGATGGTTAGGCATCACTGTGATACTGGTTTTTTGTTTTTTTGTTTGTTTGTTTGTTTGTTTGTTTTGTTTTGTTTTTAAGAAATACCCTACAGGGTATTTATGCTGATCTACCATAAAATGAAAGCTCCATTTTAACGGTATGTATCAGATTATGTTCGTTGTTACAAAATCAGTGTTCTATGGGGCAATGAAAAGATAAAGCACTAAATTAAGTGGAGATTCTTGCTGCTAAAATAAAGTGCCATTGTCACACACACAGATGAAGAACAGGTGTAGTCTTCCTGAAAGGAAGGCACAACGCCTGTGTCCACCATGCCAATAACTCTCTTCTCACGTAAGCTACTTTTGTCCCCTTCCAGAGGAGAGGTCTTGTAACATAAAACAAATTTAAATTCATGACGATAGAAACAGTTTCCCCCAGCAGCTCTCACATAGAGAGGCCACTGCTTTTGGGCACACCCTCCTGGCATAGATACTGGACAGTGGATGCACATGTATGCCTGTGTGTTAAAGAAGTACTTGTGTAAATTTATACTACTGCACTCTTTACTTGGGGACACACCACAGTGCCGAGCAATAGGAGATTTCAGCTTGTGTGTTCCTTATTTCTGCATCAGTTTTAAAATCTAGGCACTGGTGAAATTTCTGCACTCAGAAATGTGTTTTTGTGGTTACTACATCCAAGGTATGGGGTACCTTTACAAACTACCATCACAAAGATAAATAGTCCCTTATTTAAAGGTGTGCCCATCTCAGTACCCCTTTTCTGTTTTCATTAATGTATATTCACAAAAATATTGAGCAGAAAATTGCCAATTTCAGCCCTATGAAGAAGGAGTTCATTGAAATGATAGCAAGCCCTTTACTGTATCCCAACTGTCATTGTACGGCCTCTTTTTTTTTTTTTTTTTTTTTTTTGAGGTGGGGTCGTGGCCCTGGCTGTCCTGGAACTCACTATGTAGGCCAGGCTGGCCTTGAGAACTCACAGAGATTCCACTTTGCCTCTGTCTCCCAAGTGTTGGGATTAAAGGAGTACATCACCATGCCCAGCTCCATTCTAGTTTTGACACCTGCTAACAGCAATCCATGAGGTGGCTGCTCTTCTATCTTATACTGATATGGAGACTAACACAGAGGGTTTAAATAGGGTGTGCGTTGGTTCATGACCATAGCAAGATTTGTGGGGAGCCTGGCTGCTGAACACTCTCCTATTTGCATTCCTTGAGTCATTAAGACTGTTCATCTTTAGTGACTTCCCAGTAAAATGCTACTACTAACTGGTCCTTTCTTGCCTAATCATTCTTCAGAGAAGAGGCTCAAATCTTTTCAAGCTAAGAACAAAGCCTGCAGAGTTAGGTTAAGTAAGTGTGGTTGAAAGGGTGGGTGTGGAAGACAATGAGAAAGACCTGGGTGTGTGGCTGAACAGTAGCACTTGCTTAGCACATATGAGATATTGGGTAAACAGGGTGACAGGAAGTTGGCAGTTAGAAAAGCGAAGGTTCCGAAAAGGACATGAGGAAATGTCAAAGTGTCATCTCCTGGGTTTGGTACAAATAGACTATGTGCCATGTTTGACTCTTAAACTGGAAGTCCTTTTTAAGGGAGACAGTCACCAAGAACTAGCCTAGGCTCTGCTAAGAGGGCATGATAGAAAGCCGAGTGCTAATTACAGGGTGTTTGAATTGTAGCCATCTGTATAGATAGCTCACAATAAAAACCCACTGTTACAGCTTCCTTCAAAACAAAATCAGCCAGGCAGTGGTGGTGCACTGCTTTAATCTGAGCACTCAGGGAGCCGGAGGCAGGCAGATGTCTGTGAGTTCAAGGTCAGCCTGGTCTACAGAGTTTGTTCCAGGACAGTCAGAGCTACACAGAGAAACCCTGTCTTGGGAAAAATAAAAAAAGGTGTTCAGATGAGGCTAAAGAGATGGGTTAGCAGTTAAGAGCATTTGTTACTCTTGCAGAGGATCCAGGTTTGTTTTCCAACATCCATGTGACAGCTGACAATCATTTTTAACACCAGCTACAGGGGATCCAACACCCTCTTATCTACCTTCCACAGGCACCAGGCACTTACATATCTGCAAGCAAAACTCACACGCATAATAATAAATAAATCTTTAACAGTATTCAAATGAAGTAAAATGAACATTTAAAACCTAGCTACATGAAGTTAGAAATACCTGAAACAAGACTACAAATGCTATAAAAACAAAAGATAAGAATGACATAATATCTAGCAAAACTGAATTAAAAACAAAACTAATTTTAAAGACTATTTTAAAGGAGAATTTCCCAAGAAGATCCAACAGTCATGAACTTTATTATCCCTAAAAATATACCTGGGGACAATACAGAGCAAAACAAACAAATAAATGAGAATAATTGACAAAGCTGCAATCATAAACATGACTTAGAAATCACCAAGTCAAAGCTGAGAGCTGGGATGCAGGCCTCCAATCCCAGGGCTAGAAAGGCTGAGGCAGGATTGCCATGAGCCTGAGGCCAGCCAAAGATACGTACAAGAGCAAAGGGGGCAGACAGAGAAAAAGAAAATCCCCAGTCTCTAGTCCAAGAACCCAGGTACCTGGTGTACACTGGGTGAGTGAGATATGACTTGGACCAAATCCAATGCATCTCCCATTCACACTACCTATTTTGTCACAACCTCTAAGTTAATAGGCTTCTGTGTTGTGAATGGATATTAAAATGCATGACATATTCTCAAATAAAAATGGGTTTCTGTGTTTTAAAGAGTATGTAAACATACACAATATCCTCAACATTGACTCTTGCTGCAAAGCCTAAAATATTTACCTTTTGGGCCCTTTAGGGGAAAGTTGTCCAATGTCGGATTTATCTGAAGAGATAAGTCAGACTGCCTAGGTAGAATACCAAAACAAAACAAAAAACCCTCCCCCTTGGAGGCTAGGCTATGTTCACTATTGGTTTTATATGTAATCCCACTGGCTTCCTCCTTTAACCTACAAATATGTTATTATCTCCCCATCCTTAAACTTGAATTCCCCTGTGAGGTATGTTGGCACATGACCATAGTCCCAGCACTCAGGAGTCTGAGACAGGAGTGTTGTGAATCTGAACGCAATCTGACCTCAGCCCTGTGTCACTACTCACTAAACTATGAGCCACCACTCGGCAGGCCTGGAAGTGGACCATAGTTGCCTTATCCCCAGTAGCTCCTCATCCTTATAGCCTGTTCCTGTCTGTCTGCATTCACTAGTATAGGTGGATTTAACTCAAACTTCCTCCCTTTGCCCTCAATTGTAGTCCGTTCTATCTATCCCAACTACTGCGGTTTCAGGTAGCTTTCCCCGAAGCCTCGCTCTGTGCCTGAGACCTTCTCCTCCTGACTGGCTTCTCCTCCCTTAAATGACCACTTTTATCCTGTGCCCCATTTTTCTCTACAACAGCCTGCACTGTGCTTTAGAGCAGCCACAAGTGTCTTAGAAGTGCGTGCAGGCTGTGGAAGGCTCTCGCAGTCTCTCCTAATCACCCTGCAGGAGGCCCAGCAGGGTTTGGAAATTTAAGTGCAGGAGAAGGATTGAGGTGGGCGACCTGGCAGTCTATCAATCAGCCTTACAGTGTGGAGTCCCATGAAGCCTTTAGTAAGAGCAGAAGGACCAAGAATGCCTCTCTAGAGCCATGAGTCCTCTGATTGGCCCAGAGTCTGGAAAGACCCCTTTTCCATTTCCAGCAAGACTGTCTCAGTAAACCCTGGAGCTCCCTGAAACCCTGCCTGCCTGAGGAAGAGAAAGGGGAGCAGGCAGCACCTTCTCTCCATCTCCTCAAGGTTCATCACAGATGCCCCACCTCTGCCTCAAGGGCCTCCTGGGAAGCCAATACCTGCTTCTTTCCTAGATCTGTGCAACCAGTCAGGGGTCAGCCACTCACCATACTCCCACCCTAAATGGAAGGCTCCGTGGAGCATGCTTCACCAGACTTTCCTCTCATCAAGAGTCTGTGAGGAAGGTGCTGCTAGGAGGTATCGCTGAAGCTTCGTGTTTTAAAATCTAACCATTTCACTTACAGACTTTTTCCCCCTTTGGAGATGCAAACTAACAATAAAGTGACAGCAGAGGGTAAGGCTTTGCATTCTTGCTAGGAGTCAGAGGGTTCTTCCAGTCTAGTGGTCAGCGCTGGTGCAACATATATACAACTCCTTTACAGAGCAATACTCCATCTTTCCAAACCAGTGCTTTTCCCTAAGTGCACAAAAGCTAAAAAAAACATGCTTACTGATGGATAACGCTCATTTTCAAATGTGTTTTATAATACCTTCACTTGCCCAGTGGGCAGGAAGTCCCAGGAATTAGTCAGGTTGAAATGGATTAATATGAAAACTGGCCAGATATAGCCAGGCGTATTGGTGCATGCCTGAAATTTTGCTGGGAAATTTTGCAGAGGTGGGAGGATTATATGTTTCAGGCCAGCCTGGACTACAAAGCAAGTTCCAAGGCAGTCTGATTTCATAGAGACCTTGAAGAAAAAAAAAGAAGAAAGGGGGAGGTGCTTGAAAGAGGACACGGGCTTTCTGTTTTGTTTTGAACATTGTGTTAAAAGGACTTAGATTGTTGGCATCTATGTTCTCAGAAGTCACTTTAGTGTGGACATGGTATTGTCTTAGCTAGCACTCTTCCTAACTCGGCTGACCCTGAGTTAGTGGATGTTTACCTTGTTCCAGCTGATTTTTCTTTTCCTTTCTTTTCTTTTCTTTTTTTTTTTTTTTCTATGAAATTTCTACTAGGTCTCAGCAGTCAGGACAATCTCCAGAAGAACATACGTTTCAGAACAAGCTGGCCCCAGCATCTCTGACTAGCAGAACAGGGGTGAAGATTCTGAATGAATGAAACCCGCAGCATCCTGCTGCTCCCTTCCAGGAAAGCGCTGCACGTTCTAGGCAAAGGGCAGAACAGCCTGCTGGCATTCCGAATAGCTCTTGAAAGGCAGACCTCATGCTTCCTCATTCATGTCCAGCAGGGTTCAGCAGAAGCAGGCAGTGCACTTGTGTGTGGGGTTAATTGGTTCCTTGGTTTGAGGCTTTTATGTAATTTCTAGATCCACCTCTTACCTCCTCAGCCATTGTCCTATTCACTTGACTTCTCAAAAATTTTGGTGTCCAATTCCTGTACCTTCTTAGGACCTCAGTTAGGGTCACCTGGCCATTTCAGCAGAGGATGCTGGAGGCCCTCCACTCTCTCTGCAGTTACCCTCTGAAGGTTTGCACTCTGGCCTAGAGC